TGTTCTGCGAGGATTTTTTCTTTGTAAGGGATATGTGCATTCCTCCTCTGGTCCTTGTTCCCCTCACACAACACTGCTATAAGACTATGCTCTGAGGTTGCACTTTAATAAACAGTATATGGTTTTTTAACAAAAAACATTGTGTTTTTTTTCTTCTGCCTTATAATCTGTTTTTAACTTTAATGTTCAAGTGAAATAAGTCTACAATGTGTAGACTTAAAAGATGAGATCAAGCTTGTTCAAATATGTCCAACTTGACATTTTTATTCAAGTACGTTACTGTAGAGATTTCTAAATGGGTCATGGGCCTAAAACATCACCGTTAAAAATAGTGAGAAATAAATAACTGTTATCTTGTGCCTGTCTTCTCTAAGAACTCTAAGTGGTCACGACTCCATCTCCACCAGAGGCAGCTAACTGCTGTCCTGTATCAAGTTTTAACCCAGTGGTTCTCAACCTGTGGGTCGCGACCCCTTTGGCAGTCGAACGACCCTTTCACAGGGGTTGCCTAAGACCATCAGAAAACACATATATAATTACATTACGATTCATAACAGTAGCAAAATTACAGTTATGAAGTAGCAACGAAAATAATTTTATGGTTGGGGGTCACCACAACATGAGGAACTGTATTCAAGAGTCGCGGCATCAGGAAGGTTGAGAACCACTGTAACCAGACACGCTTTGCAGTCATCCATTCAGTCCATCTCCTAGAGCAAGAAAGGAAAAACCAGAATTAGCCAGTATAATTTTTCCCCCACCAATATATTTAGTCATATTTCTAACTTTTTATTTTAAACTGGAGGCTTTTGTGCACTGGGCCTCTAGTATACATATAAGATCTTTGGTTAATCTCTTCCCACCTTCCCTCCTTCCCCCTCCCCTCTGAGATTCATCAGTCTGTTCCATGTTTCCATGCCTGTGGTTTCCACTCCTGCATTGGGCGTCTGCCCCCTGGTGGTCAGTGCACGTCATAGCGACTGGTTAGGCTTTCATGTATATATATATATATAATTCTTCTTTATGACTTCCTATTTACTGTTTCTCCCTCTTTTCTAACTTGTAATGAATGACCAGGCTTTCTTTTTCTTTCCTTCTAACAGCAGGGACACTTTTTCTGTTATGGCCCAGATAATATTTTAGGCTCTGTAGGCCACTCAGTCTTGGCCATATGGTCACAATGGCTCCATTATGATGTTACAGTGTGGAAGCAGCCAGAGAAAATACACAAAAGAATGAGCATGGCTATCTACACTAATAAAAAAGAAACATGCAAATTGACAGTCCCTCCGCTATGCCCACCAGCCCATCAGAGTGATAGGCAAATTAACCCAACAAAGATGGTGGTTTATTTGCATACACAGGCACGGAGCAAAGACTGAAGACAGCGTAGAAGGAAGCCAAGCGCTGCAGAAGGGAGCGAAGTGGCGGAGAAGGGAACGGAGCTGAGGCAGCAGACTCGGGAGGGAGCAAAGCAGCGGACAAGGGAGGAAGCAAGGCAGTGGACATGGGAGGAAGCGAGGCGGCGGACATGGGAGGAAGCGAGGCGGCGGACATGGGAGGAAGCAAAGTGGCGGACATGGGAGGAAGCAAAGTGGCGGACATGGGAGGAAGCAAGGCGGCGGACATGGGAGGAAGCGAAGTGGCGGACATGGGAGGAAGCAAGGCAGTGGAGATGGGAGGGAGCAAGGCGCGGACATGGGAGGAAGCGAGGCAGTGGAGATGGGAGGGAGCGAAGCGGCGGAGACGGGATGGGGCGAAGCGGCAGACATGGGAGGGAGCGAGGCGGCGGACATGGGAGGAAGCGAGGCGGCAGACATGGGAGGAAGCGAGGCAGTGGAGATGGGAGGGAGCGAAGCGGCGGAGACGGGATGGGGCGAAGCGGCGGAGACGGGATGGGCGAAGCGGCAGACATGGGAGGGAGCTAAGTGGCGGAGACTGGAGGGGCGAGGCGGCGGGCTTCACTCCCTTCTCTGCTTTGCTCCAGCCTCAGGAAGCCCTATTCTTGCAGGAATCTTCCTGCAACGGGCCTCTAGTGTTACAATAAAACTTTGTTTACAAAAACAAGCAGCAGGCCAGATTTGGCATATGGCCATAATTTACCAATCTCTGTAAATGATTAGAAGTTCTACATCCTTCATTTTTACCAAATGTACATTGCATTTATTGAATGTACATTCAACTTTCTATGACAGGTAATCTAAATATGAGTTAAACAAGATTTATTTCTTTAATTATATGTCAGCAGTCAGCACTGCAGTCTTGGGAGCCAGGAGCCTATCTTACTGGTCCTTGTCACTAAGATAAAGCCCTCACCTGTACCCAATCCTCATGCACACTTCAACCCGTGGACAGGGGAAGGGGGAAGTAGAGGGCAGACCCCTTCTCTTCAGGGACACAGTACAGAAATGTATATATCACTTCTGCCTGCATCCCTTTAATCAAAAGTCACAGGTCACACCTGGCTTACAAGGGAACCTGGGATATGTAGACCAACAGGACCCAGTTATAAATCCTATAACTACAGAAGATAGGGAGTACAGATATTGGGGGCATCTAGCAGTCTCTGCCAAACTTTTGAGTTTCTTATTTGCTTCAAGGAGTAATTAGAATCTATAACCCCTCACCCAACCAACATCAAACCTTTAGTATGTATTTATTTAGCATGTCTAAAATACAGTTTCTACTACTATCATCTCCATAGATTTGGGTTCTTTAACTCCCATGTGAGTTTTTTAGTGCTCCACACCTATAATTTAATAGATGTTACTCTTTATTGATGATCATTTTCTAAAGCAGGGGTCCTCAAACTACGGCCCACGGGCCACATGCAAATACAAATATTGTATTTGTTCCCGTTTTGTTTTTTTACTTCAAAATAAGATATGTGCAGTGTGCATAGGAATTTGTTCATAGTTTTTTTTTTAAGCCATAGTCCGGCCCTCCAACGGTCTGTGGGACAGTGAACTGGCCCCCTGTTTAAAAAGTTTGAGGACCCCTGTTCTAAAGTCTAAATTAGCTGTTCTAATTTACAAACCAGAATTCAGCCCTTAAGAACTCTAATGCCATAAGAAATACAAGTGAAACTGGGGGTTGTGTAGAAACATGTTCTCTGGAGCCCTGTCATCCTTATATCCTTGCATCCTATGTTCTGCTCCATGAGAGCAACTGCAAAAACAGACTTTCAAGGTGCTGAGATGTGGATATTCCCATCTATTGGGTCACTTATGGTTCCAAGAGACACCTTGGGTCCAAGCAATCAAGATTCTGTTTGAGCCGTTCAGTATTTGGTAAGCTGTTAATACAGACTGCTGTTGATGTCTTGCCCATTTACTCCCCTTGGGTGGTTGTTGGTGAACACTGTCCAGGAACTTTCTCAGGTTTACCTGCTTCCAACAATTCAGCATGGTTTAATACCTGATTTGAGATTTATATTCATTCTCCTGTTTCAAAATGCCGGTATAACTAAAGTCCAAAGCAGATAGAGAAAACTTTCAAGGTTTATCACTAATTTGAAGAGGGTTTGGATGCCTGAGTAATGCTTCTGACACATAAAATCCCAAATATTCACTAATATTTTCAAATTTAGAGAAAAGATATATCCATTGAACATCCAGTTGGCTCTATGAAACAGAAGCAGCAGACATTAAGGACTGTCTAGCCTTCTTGGGCAACCTCCTGAAGAACTGTGACTTAATATCCTGGTTATGGACAGATGTTTTCTGGGACAGGTTTTAGATAACCTCTCCTCCCTGCTTTTTGATCTCTCTGTTTGGTCTCTCTCCCCTTCACCTTTCTTAGTAAGCATGTTTTCATTTGTTTTGTAAGCATATTTTTAAAGAATTTAATTATACTTATTTTTGTGACAAAGTGAAGTTGACAGCAGATCTGGGGATGCTCAGCTTGGATCCCTCAGCCACTTTCTTTCATGCTCTAAGTGTCTATACCACCTATATCACACTATTACAATTCTTTGGACAGTATGAAATAAGCCTTTCCCCACTTACAGTAGCAATCTTAAAAAAAATGAAGCTGCCCAGCCGGCATGGTTCAATGGTTAAGCGTCGACCTATGAACCAGGAGATCACAGTTCGATTCCTGGTCAGGGCACATGCCCAGGTTGCATGCTTGATCCCAAGTGGGGGGCATTCAGGAGGCAGCGGATCAATGATTCTCTCTCCTCATTGATGTTTCCCTCCCTCTCCCTTTCTCTCTGAAATAAATTTAAAAATATATATTTTTTAGAAAATGAAGCTGATAAAGCTCAAAGGTTTTTTTTTCATTGCCACCTCCTACTACATAAAGTTCTTGTTCGTGAAAGCAAAACCAAGCCTTTTTGCCTGAACAGGAAGGTTTATAACAGCCTTCTTTGTGGTTTGGTCATCAGAAGCAGAAGAAAGGGAGGAAAGTAGCAGAGGTCTCTGCTGGGTTTCCTGACCTTAAAGGGAAATGGATGTAGGGAGTAGGCAGACACCAAGAGGATTTAATGAAACGCCAAGGAGCTGACATCACTGGTTCTTACATTTCTGACTAAGTTTCTCACATAGGTGAGTAGGTTCTGATTAATAACATTCACTGTTGTGCGAAAGACATCATGGAGCAAGGATGGTGTGTGATCGGCCACCTTTTTGGCCAACAGCATGGTCAACATCAGCATGGTCTTCTCCTTTTCCATGTCTTTAGGATAAGTGTGCATGACCTGCTCCAGGGCAGCAGCAAGGCACTCCCTTCTGTCCTGTATAGAGGTGAAAACAGAAGGCTACGTCACTAATATTCTTCCCTCTTAAATGAAAAGTAGTCCTCCAGTGGAAAGCATGAAGAAACATGCTCTCATTTTACAAGGAAGTATTTACTAAATAGCTAAGGTGGTTGGAAGAGAGAATGAGAAACAATTTAGTTTTGAGAGGAGATGGAAAGGGAAGACTGAGATTACTCCCTGGAGTGGGACACTCATTAACCAAACACGTGGTCACTGAGCATCTTGTGTGCACATTCAACACTGATGGAACCAAAGAAGCCAAGTTATTCCCTACCTCTGAAGCACTTCAAATCAAGAATTAGTTAACTACCCAAGATATCGCATGTCCAGTTACTGGTGCAGACCTCGCTAGAGGGAGGGAGGAGGGGCTGCATGTGATATTCCCACCTGGAACAGACACACACAGAGCATTAGACTTGAGAGAGCCTGCAGGCTCATTACTTTCATGGAGAATTAACATTGTGGGAGAGGTCCCAGGCAGAACATCACTGGATGCTTACAGATTCTGTGACAGCTGGCGAGACCATCATATGGGAAGAGACCACTAAAGAGGGGATAAGCCTTCTTGGAGGCAGGAGACCTGGCCTGGTTGAATCTTGGAGGATTAATACATTTCTATGTAATGAGAGGTACTTGCATTTTTAGCTGGTAGTCAAAAAAATACCTTGGGGTATTTCTCCCACTAAGTTTCTTTGTGTCTTAGACCTATCTTTGTATCCCCCACAGTGCTTGGCAAATGATAGAAGCTCTGTAAGTATTAGTATGTGGATTACAACCATGAAGCCAAGAGTAGTAGGCTAACATGTTTCTTTTCTTGTCACACCTGGGCAAGTGACTTAAAGTTCTCTATTGGCATTTTTATTCAGCTCCCTAAAACTGAAGAAAATTATTTCTGGAAGAGTCATATACATTTTGTTCATCTTTTTAGAGGCTTTTATCCTGAAACTCTCTGACTCATTCCTAAATGTCAAATAACTTAATTCTTCTAAAAGACAATTAACCATGCTATAATTTCTATTTCCAATACTTTTGTGGACAGTCATGAATTGAATTACCTCACTGAACCCTGGTCTGTCTGATAGCAGACAGAGGGCAGACCTTGTTGGTTAAACTGACAATGCAAAAAGCCCTCACACTTCTCAATTAACCCAGAAAAGGCACCAAAGGGTTTCTCACTTACTTCCTCTGACAGGTTCCCATTCATAAACTGTATTGCCAGGTGATTCACCAGTCTTGGGGGGATGCTGCGGTCCATCCTGTCCCCTATATGGGCAAGTTGCCTGGCGATATTCTGGATGATTTCATCTTGACTCTCAGAATCTGAATGTTCAGGAAGGAGCAGCAAAGACAAAGCAGACTCAGACATTGGTCCCGTTCTAAACCCTCATCCCACTGCACCCACCTTGGAGAAAGGAAGGAATTCTGCTTTAAAACAAAGCCAGCTCCCACTTCCACAGCACACCACAGCGGGTTGGGGGGGGGGGGGGAAGCGGGGAGTCCCCAGGGAATGGGGCCTGACTGAGCAGAAGTCTGGCTGAAGAAGCAGACTTCTCCCTGAATACAGATTCAACATCTGCCCACAAAAAGGATCAGTGATGCTGTGGCACCCATGACTATGGGCACCTGAGGCATGAACCTGGCAACAGCCTTAAGGCTGCTAGTTCTGTATCCCATCATCTATCAGGTTTTAGATTCAGAAGTTGTTAGGACAGAGGCTCTGCAGTCAGACCGAGTTAGAGCCCCACCTCTGCCAATCCCTGGTCACGAGACCTTGACACATCCTCTCCTACCTTCCTCACGGGGCAGCTATGGGGATCACTGCTTTCCCCAGTCTTGTCTCACTCAGTAAAACCTCCGTCTTCACACAGACCTAGAAGGCTTTGTACAATCTGCCCAGCCTCTCTAACAGGAACTCTTCCCACTTCTCCAGCTACACTGGCCTCAGTAGAGAGCAGGCTTCTTCTTTAACTTCCTTGGGTCTACACAAATGCCACTCTGTCCAAGATCAAACACCACTTTCACTGCCACATGTCCTCTTCCACTCCCACCTTTACCTTCCTTGACACTCTCGATTGTTTCATACAGTTTATCTGTCTGTAGTCTTTGACTCACTTTCAGAATGTAAACTTCACAATGGCTCTGATTTTTTTCTACATTTTTTTTCTTCTTTAAATCTTTATTGTTGAGAGTATTACAGATTTCCTCCTCCCCCCCACACCCCCACCCCCACCCCCGCCCCACGGCCTCCCTCCACATGGTTCCCAACCTGCCCCAGGCCTTCACCCTGCTACTCTGTGTCCATGGGTAAGATCTTTGGTTAATCTCTTCCTGCCTCTCCTCTCCCCTTCCCTCTGAGATTCATCAGTCTGTTCCATGCTTCCATGCCTCTGGTTCTATTTTAGTCACCAATATATTTCATTCACAAGATTTCTTGCTTATTTTGATTTTTAGATTCAGTTGTTGATATATATGTATTTGTTGCCATTTTATTGTTCATATTTTTTATCTCTTCTTCATAAACAATACCCTTCAACATTTCATGTAATGCTAGTTTGGTGGTGATGAACTCCTTTAGATTTTCTTGTTTGTGATGCTCTTTATCTGACCTTTGCTGGGTAGACTATTCTTGGTTCTCGGCCCTTATTATTCATCACTTTGAATATTTCTTGCCACTCCCTTCTGGCCTGCAAAGTTTCTGATGAGAAATCAGCTGACAGTCATATGAGCGCTCCCTTGTAAGTAACTAACTGCTTTTCTCTTGCTGCTTTTAAGATTCTCTCTTTATCTTTTGCCCTTGGCATTTTAATTTGATGTGTCTTGGTGTGTCTTGACTTCCTCTTGTTTGAGACTCTCTGTGCTTCCTGGACTTGTAAGTCCATTTCTTTCACCAGGTAGGGGAAGTTCTCTATCATTACTTCTTCAAATAGGTTTTCAATATCTTGCTCTCTCTGTTCCTTCTGGCACCCCTATGATGAGAATGTTGGTACAGCCCTACCCGGTTTAGCTCAGTGGATAGAGCGTCGGCCTGCGGACTGAAGGGTCCCAGGTTTGATTCCGGTCAAGGGTACATACTTGGGTTGCGGGCTCGATCCCCAGTAGCGGGGCGTGCAGGAGGCAGCCAATCAATGATTCCCTCTCATCATTGATGTTTCTATCTCTCTATCTCTCTCCCTCTCCCTTCCTCTTTGAACTCAATAAAATATATTTAAAAATAAAAAAAGAATGTTGGTACACTTGAAGTTGTCCCAGAGGCTCCTTACACTATCTTCATATTTTTGGATTCTTTTTTCTTTTTGCTCTTCTGATTGGATGTTTTATGCTTCCTCATATTCCATATCGTTGATTTGATCCTCAGACTCCTCTACTGTTGAATTCCTGTATATTATTCTTTTTTTTTTCTAAATATATTTTATTGATTTTTTACAGAGAGGAAGGGAGAGAGACAGAGAGTCAGAAACACCGATGAGAGATAAACATCAATCAGCCGCCTCCTGCACATCCCCCACTGGGGATGTGCCCGCAACCCAGATACATGCCCTTGACCGGAATCAAACCCGGGACCCTTCAGTCCGCAGGCCGACGCTCTATCCACTGAGCCAAACCGGTTTCGGCTGTATATTATTCTTTATTTCAGTTAATGTATACTTAATTTCTGACTGGTCCTTTTTCATGTCTTTGACTTTCTCACTAAGATCCTTGAAAGTCTCATGAAGATCCCTGAGTAACCTTATAACCATGGATTTGAACCCATATCCAAAATTTTGCTTTCTTCCATTTGTTTCATTGTGACATGTTTCTTTGTCTCCTCATTTTGGCTGTTTCTCTGTGTTTGTTTCTATGTATTACGTACAGCTGCTATGTCTCCTGGAGTTGGTAGAGTGGCTTGTGTAGCAGGTGTCCGGTAGGGCCCAGTGGCTCTGCCTCCCCAGTCACCTGAGCTGGGCACTCTGGGTGTCCCCCTGTGTGGGCTCTGTGCACAGTCTTGTTGTAGTTGAGTCTTGATTTCTGTTGGTGTCACTGGGAGGAATTGACCTCCAGGCCAGTTGGCTGTGAGGACCAGCTGTGACTACATGGGAAAGCTGCTGTGCAGGAAATACTCCTATGGAGCAGGACTTGCTTCAGTGGGGCTTTGGTGCTCACTGAATCTGCCCCTTGAGTGTGTTGCTTGTGGACGTGTAGAGTTGAGGTCTGCTATGGTCTGATGCTGTCCACTGGGTGCACTGGTTCTAGTGCCTCCATCGAGGTGCAAAGTCAGCCACTGCCTGGGGCCACCCTGCAGGAGCTATTTGTTTTGGGCTTGGAGGTGCCCAGGGGAGACCCAGCTGTGAAGCAAGGCAGGCTTATGTTAGTGTAGGGTCTTGGACCCTTTATTGATAGGTTTGGGGCATGCTGCTCCAGCTGTAGCATGTTTGAGAGATTTTAGCAAAGTCTGTAGCCTGAGCCAGGACAGGCCATTCATATGCAAAAGCCACTGCAAACAGCTTGGGTAGGGCTGCAAATTGGATAGGGTGGGGTCTCAAGGAATCACCAGTGCAGAGGGGACAGTGTGGGACATGCTGATGGAAGCTCAGATATAGCTTCCAGTCAGCTCTGTGATGGGGGAGGTCCCAGCACAGAGACAATGACCGCTGCAAGCACCTCTGTCTGGGAAAAAGCTGCTCCTGAGTTCCTGCCCTGATGCCAGACAATCCAGTTCCTCCTCCTATGTGTTTGGGTCCCCCAGAGCCTCATCCTGGCACTGGAGCTCAGAGGAAGCAGGACCTTGTAAGTTCAGTTCATGCGCCAGCCCTTTAAAAGGAACATCTGGGTTTCCAGCAGCCTCTGTGTCACTGAGCCCCAGTCCCCACTTGTTTCTACAGCTGTAGTTATGGGGACTTCTATTCCCAGCTCTGGAACCCTGGGGGTCTAGTGTGGGGCTGGGACCCCTTGCTTCTCCACAGGGACGACCTCTAATCTGACAAAAAAAAAACAACGGCCCACGTGGGTACTGTTCCAGCCCGTTCTGCACCTCTGCCCCTCCTACCAGTCTCAATGTGCTTTCTTCTTTACTTTTCTAGCTGGAGGACTTCCATTCAGCCAGCTTTCAGGTGGTTTTGAATGATGGTTGCTCTGTATTTTAGTTGTAATTTTGATGTGGTTGTAGGAGGCAGCGAGTACCGACATTTACCTATGCTGCCATTTTGGTTCTCTCAGGGCTCTGATTTTTTAATGTTTTATTTATTGCCAAATATGCAGTACTGAGAACAATGCAAGGCACACAGAAGATGCTAAGTAAACAATTTTATGAATGAGTGAATGAGTAAATGAATGAACCCTGAACCTAGCTCCTAGTAAATTTTCAATAAATGCCAACTATTATTATTTCTCCAATTAAATCTTATACAGTGGAACTTCACTTCTTGAACTTAATTCGTTCCAGAAGGCTGTTCAAAAAGCAATTTGTTCAAAAACATCATTTTTCCCCATTAGAAATAATGTAATTTGAATTAATCCATTCCAAATCCCCAAATCATTCCCTCTTTTAACCTACTCAATTGCCTGTGATCGATGTTTCCTTAGCATTTTCACACCCTTAGCAACATCAGCACTCTTGATGGCCTCTTTATGTTTTAAAATTGTGCTAATCATCGATTACAGTCTCTCCTCACTCCATTTTCACTGTCCTCCAGTCCACTCTCCACAGTGTACTTGGGCCAGCAAGGCACCTAGAGGTGAAGATGAGAGGGCATTAAGAGGAGTGAGTGCCTCCTTACATTTTGTGCCCTGGGTGTTTCATTTGCCTCACTGTGGCATTGACTGTGACACATGTAGTATCAATACGACATCACTTTCTTACTCAGAACTTGCCACATGCTCAACTCTGCTTCTTAAGTGACAAGTTACCACCCAGCCTTAAATCATCCTGAACTTCAATTATTCCCTTCAAATGCTCTAGTTCGGTGGTCGGCAAATTGCGGCTCGCGAGCCACATGCGGCTCTTTGGCCCCTTGATTGTGGCTCTTCCACAAAATACCGACTTCTGCACATGGGCCACAAAGTTTCAATCGCACTGGACGTGCGCGCCCGCACGTGGTATTTTGTGGAAGAGCCACACTCAAGGGGCCAAAGAGCTGCATGTGGCTCTCGAGCTGCAGTTTGCCGACCACTGCTCCAGCTAAACTCAACTATTCACAGGACCTTTCCCAGGCCCTGGCCTTTTGATCTTCAAGGTTTTGCTTAAGCTATTGCCATTCCCTCTTCCCAATCTCCAGAGCAAAACTACACAGCTTCACAGCTCAGCTCAATTCTATTGCAGCCATGAAATTTCTCCTGATTTCCCACAGAGAATGGAGTACTCACCACCTTCTCCATAGCTCCCACAGCACTGACTCTGCCTCACTAATTTCCCTAGGTGTTCCCCGTTTCAGCAACTTCAGGAGTCATGGCTGATTCATCTGTGTGCAGCTGAGTGAATAAATTTTTTTTTTTTTTTTAAATATATTTTATTGATTTTTTACAGAGAGGAAGGGAGAGAGATAGAGAGTCAGAAACATCGATGAGATTCTCCTGATTTCCCACAGAGAATGGAGTACTCACCACCTTCTCCATAGCTCCCACAGCACTGACTCTGCCTCACTAATTTCCCTAGGTGTTCCCCGTTTCAGCAACTTCAGGAGTCATGGCTGATTCATCTGTGTGCAGCTGAGTGAATAAATTCACCATGAAATTTCTAGTGGCCAGAGCCTCTATTCTGCCCTTTTCTTCCAAATCTTGTCAGGTACTTAATCTACATGCAGAGAGTTTTCTACCAGAGGGAGAGGTTAAGTGTACAGCCCCATAATCAGTTTTGAAAATGCCATTTGAGTCAAGCCAGGCTTTCCAGTCTACAAGTAAGGGATGGTGCAGAAGAGCAAAGGAGAGCCCAGGGGACAGCCTCTAGCAGTAGTTACTCCTACTAGCAGTTTCTGCCAGCAAAGCCATTCCTGCCCCTCCCTTCCTAAACCTTCCCCAAAGGGTCCAGGTGCTCTTATTCCAGTTTAGGGCCAGAAGACATGCTAGCTGGATTCTAAGGCAGCTAACGTCTGGCACACCTTGGCTAGTGGGGAACTCTTACTACACACCCCTATCCACCAGCTTTGAGACAGAGCTAGGGATCCCAAGGCTGGATGGGCTGCTGGTCTCCCTCAAGGCCACCAGAGGGCAGTGCAAAAACCCAGAGATGTAAGGATAGCAGGATTTCAGTCCTGCTCTAAGTAGGGAGGCTTGGGGTCTAGGTCCTTAGAGTCACCTTAGGCTTTTAAGGCAGTAAATCTAACCAGGGACTACACCAGAGTCTCCCACCCTAGAACACACTGGTTCAGGCAGCTGGAGTAGGGGCCAGGGACGAGGCATTTTGAAAAACTTTCTCTTGGAATTCCAATGTGCACACTACTGAGGGCTACTGTTCCCTAATCTGGGAATGGCTAAGCGCTCAACATGTTCCCCAGCCTTGCTCCCTCAGCCATCAGCTTGGGATCGTCTCCATCAGTGGAGGCAGCATCAGCAGTTAGCAAGAGTAAAAACTGAAGTTGGAGGACAGCACAAAGATATGGGTGAGAAAAGGTGAAGGAAGTCTGGAAACTGTAATGTACTCAGAGGCAGGAGAAACCATGGGAGGATGGGGCCCAGCTCAAGGAAAGAGGCCTGGACCGTCATTTGGGGCTTGTATTTACGCTTTTCTGGGCCTCAGTTTCCTCATTTGGAAATGAGATTCAGAATACTTCAATGCCCCATCCTATCTAATAAAAGAGAAACATGGTAATTAGCCATACCTCCGCTACCCTTCCCATTGGCTAATCAGGGCGATATGCAAATTAACTGCCAACCAAGATGGCGGCCGGCAGCCAGGCAGCTTGAAGCGAACAGGAGGCTTGCTTGCTTCAGTGACGGAGGAAGCCAACGTTCCCCGCCTGCCTTGCCGGCCTCTGAGCTTGCAGTTTAAGAAACATTGTTACAAATATAGAAGCTAAACAAAACCCCAGAAACCTGCTTTCAGCCAGCCGGGCTTCAGCCAGTAGGACCGCAACATTGTTTCAATTATAGAACAAACACAGATCCCTGCTTTCAGCCAGCGGGATCTCAGAGCTGGAGTGAGCAGGACTGCAACAGTGTTACAAATATAGAACCCAAACAAACCAGATACCTGCTTTCAGCAGCTGAGGCCTCAGAGCTGGAGCCAAGCCTCAGAGCTAAAGCTGGCCCAGAATAAAAAAAAAAGAAAAAAAGGACAGGTTGGGAGCTTCAGTCACCTGCCAGCCTGAAAACGGCCCTCAGCCCCTCACCCAGACTGGCCAGGCACCCCAGTGGGGACCCCCACCCTGAAGGGGGTGTGACCAGCTGCAAACAGCCATCATCCCCTCATCAGAGTGGTCAGGCACCCCAGTGGGGACCCCCACCCTGAAGGGGATGTGACCAGCTGCAAACAGCCATCATCCCCTCATCCAGACTGGCCAGGCACCCCAGTGGGGACCCCCACCCTGAAGGGGGTGTGACCAGCTGCAAACAGCCATCATCCTCTCATTCAGGCTGGCCAGGCATCCCAGTGGGGACCCCCACCCTGATCCGGGATACCCTTCAGGGCAAACCAGCAGGCCCCCACCCGTGCACCAGGCCTCTATCCTATATAGTACAAGGGTAATATGCCTCCCAGCACCAGAATCAGCGGAGCAGCGAGGCCTCCCAGCACCGGGATCAGCAGAGCCGCGAGGCCTCCCAGCACCGGGATCAGCAGAGCCGCGAGGCCTCCCAGCACCGGGATCAGCGTGACAGGGGGCAGCGACCAAACCCCCTGATCGCCCTGCGGCTCTGTGTGTGACAGGGGGCAGGGCCACAACCTCCCTATCCGCCCTGCTCTGTTCAGCCCTGCTCTGTGCCTGATAGGGGGAGCTCCCCAACCCCCTGATCGCCCTGCGCTCTGTGTGTGACAGGGGACGGGGCCACACCTCCCTATCCGCCCTGCTCTGTTCGTGACAGGGGGAGCTCCTCAACTCCCTGATCGGCCCTGCTCTGTGCCAGATAGGGGGGAGCTCTCCAACCCCCTGATTGCCTTGTGGATCTGTGTGTGACAGGGTGCAACGCCCCAACCCCCTGTTCGCCCTGCAGCTCTGTGTGTGACAGGGTACAGAGCCCTAACCCCCTGATCGGCCCTGCTCTGTGTGTGACAGGGTGCAGCACCCCAACCCCCTGATCGGCCCTGTTCTGTGGGTGATAGAGGGCGGTGACCCAAAGCTCCCCACCCCCCACGGGCCCTTCTCTGTGTGTGACGGGGTAGAGCCATAACCTCCTCATCGGCCCTGTCCTGAGTGTGACAGTGGCGGCGCCCCAATCCCCTGATCGGCCCTGCTCTGTGGCTGATAGAGGATGGCGCCCCAACCCCCTGATCCGCCCTGCTCTGTTTGTGACAGGGGGCAGTGCCCCAACTCCCCTATCAGCCCTACTCTGTGAGTGACAGGTGGGAGCTCCCCAACCCCCTGATCGGCCCTGCTCTGTGCGTGACAGGGTACGGAGCCCCAACCCCCATGATGGGCCCTGCTCTGTGCGTGACAGAGGGCAGCTCCCCAACCCCCTGATGGACCCTGCTCTGTGCGTGACAGGGGGGAGCTCCTCAACCCCCTGATCGGCCCTGCTCTGTGCGTGACAGGGTACGGAGCCCCAACCCCCCTGATGGGCCCTGCTCTGTGCGTGACAGGGGGCAGCACCCCAACCCCCTGATTGGCCCTGCTCTGTGCATGACAGGGGGTGGCGCCGCAACCTCCTTATCGACCCTGCCTTGAGTGTGACAGGGGGCGGTGCCCCAACCCCCCAATCGGCCCTACCCTGAGCGTGACTGAGGGTGGCATCGCAACCTCCCGTTCCGCCCTGCTCTGTGCATGACAGGGGGTGGTGCCCCAACTCCCCAATCGGCCCTGCTCTGAGCCTGACCAGGGGCTGCACCTAGGGATTGGGCCTGCCCTCTGCCACCCGGGAGCAGGCCTAAGCCAGCAGGTCATTATCTCCCGAGGGGTCCTAGACTGCGAGAGGGCACAAGCCGGGCTGAGGGACCCCCTCTCACCCCCCGAGTGCACAAATTTTTGTGCACCAGGCCTCTAGTAATATATATAAAAATGTAAGGTGCTTAGAGAAACTGAGCAGGTTTTCAACTAATTGGAAACTCAGCTAGGCTTGCTCCACCAGAGAAACCAAGTACAGACCGAACAATCACGTGACACAAACATCAATGGTGGACTAACACCACACAGGTGGAGCTGAATCCAAAGGTCTCTTCTAGCATTCTGGTTCCCTAAATGCCACTGGTGACAGAAAGGCAGAGAAGACTGGGCCAGATGCTTACCTGTCTCCCGGCTCTCCAGGACAAAGTGGCTGTACTGGCTGCCATCGGTCTGCAGTTCATCGTCATGGTTTTCCCATAGACAAGCTGGCACAGATAGGTCATGGCCCAACACCTGCAGCTCTTTGTGGAAATTGTAGTTGGAGCAGTTTTGAAGGAAGCCAAACACCAGCAAGTCTGTAATACGCTCATCCTGGAGGCATGAACCATTGCTGCCCTAAGATGAAAGGGGGTCAGGAAGGCTGAGCTGGCAGAAGGGCTCTGAGTACAGTGGGGCCCCAAATAGCCTCACTAGCCCAAGAGACCTGAATAACCCTGTGGACACAATAGTCCCACAAGAGATCTCAGTGGGCAGAGACCAAGTCTGCAACACCTGTGTGCAGATGCCAAAGAGAAAGCTCCAATTCTGCACAAGTTGGTTATCTACCATTTAGCTGACATCCTGACAATATCTAGCTGGGGCAAGCTTGCTTTTGGGGTAGGAAGCCCAAAGGCTGTTTTAGGAAGTCAAGTAAATATCATCATGTAGAAAGCATCCTTGCTTTTGCCAAGCCCCATGTGTCTTTTACCAAACTGAGCCCAGCCTTAATGGCCATGCATCCAGCAGTTAGAAGCTCATTCTTCTCCATAATGTCCTTTATGGGCCCAGTATGGTATTGTGCAAACAGCAGATTTTCAATAAATACTGGTAGTAGTAACCAGATACCCTCTCCCCTTGAGCAGGCTTGGAGGGATGTGCCTCTTAACCAAAACCCACGGAGAACACAGCTCCTGCTCCAACCCGGAGGGGCTGGTGATGGTGGCCCAGCAGCTCTCCATCCGTGAACAGTACTACAGCAGTAGCTCAGTTCAGCCTCTGTGCTATGGGGGACAGCGTGGATATTTCTGGTGTGCTGACTGCATTTGGGGCAGTGTTCTTGACAAACACAGGTGAGCACTTGTGGGATCAGCAGTCAGGTGTGCTCAGAAAAATCAAAGATCTAGGATGAAAGAGGGAATAATCTGGAAGGCCAGGGATCCAAAGATCTGCCCAGATAAATAAATGCAAAACTAACATGCTGGATGGTATGAGGTCAGTAGAAAATGAAGGTGCAGGTAAAATTTATTTCTATCTTCTAAGTCCTTAGCAGTTTTCTTTTTTTAAAAAAATATGTTCTTATTGATTTTTAGAGAGAAGAGGAGGAGAGAGAGAAAAAAAATAAATGTAAAAGAGAGACATTGATCAGCTGCCTCCTGCATGCCCCCTACTGGGGATCAAGCCCTCAACCTGAGCATGTGCTCTGACCAGGAATGGAACCTGCGACCTTTTGGTGCATGGGACAATGCTCAACGAACTGAGCCACACCAACCAGGACAGTCCTTAATATTTTTCATTAGAAAATTCAGAAAACATTTAAAGGACAGTTTTTAGGAGGCAAATAGTTTTCAATAAAATGCATAAAATAAAATGCTTATATATTGTTATTCAGCCTTTAGTTCTCCAAAATTATTCTAAAAAAATGGGGAGCCCAGCTGGCATGGCTCAGTGGTTGAATGTTGACCTATGAACCAGGAGGTCACGGTTTGATTCAGGTCAGGGCACATGCCTGGATTGTGAGCTCGATCCCCAGTAGGGGACATGCAGGAGGCAGCTGATCAATGATTCTCTCTCACCATTGATGTTTCTATCTCTCTCTCCCTCTCCCTTCCTCTCTGAAATCAATAAAGATATCTTTAAAAAGGGGGGTGATTATGTTATACAAAAGCTCTACTGTCAAGCCCTGGCCAGTTTGGCTCAGTGGTTAAAGTGTCAGCCCACGGTTTGATTATCATGGTCGCAGGTTAGATTGCAGGTTTGATTCCCAGCTGTGTGGAAGGCAGCCAGACCATGTGCCTCTCTCATGTCAGTGTTTCTTTCTCTCTCTCTCTCTCTCTCTCTCTCTCTCTCTCTCTCTCTTTCTCTCTCTCTCTGCCCTCCCTCCCTCCCTTCCACTCTGTCTGAAAATCAATGGAAAAAATACCCTCAGGTCAGGATTAAAAAAAACAAAAACAAAAAAACCTTGCCCTGGCTGGTTTGGCTCAATGGACAGAACATCAGCCTGCGGGCTGAAGGGTCCTGGGTTCAATTCCAGTCAAGGGCACATGCGGTCGCAGCTTGGTCCCCAGTGGGGGGCATGCAGGAGGCAGCCGATCAGTGATTCTCTCTCATCATTAATGTTTCTATCTCTCTTTCCCTCTCATTTCCTCTCTGAAATCAATAAAAATATATTTTAAAAAAAAGCTCTACTGTCAATGATTATAGTGAGGCCAGGAGGAGCTTAGAAAGTCAAGGACAGGCTTCATTCCCACCTCATGGTGATGTCTTGGTTACAGAGAAGACTGGGGCAGTGTTGTGAGGCGAACTGTGCTCCCCAAAAAGAAACGTTTAAGTGCTAAGCACAAGTACCTGTGAATGTGACCTTATTTGGAAATCAAGTTAACATCAGATCATCCTGGATTAGGACAGGCCCTAATCCAATGACTGATGTCTTTATGAGAGAAGGAGACAGAGTTTTGTATAGAGACACACAGGGACAATGGCATGTGAAGACAGACTGAAAGTGGAGTGATGTGCTTAACAACCAAGGAGCATCAAGCACTGCTGGTAGCCACCAGAAGCAGGGAAAGAGGATGGGACAGATTCTTCATCAGAGCCCCACAAGGAACCAATATTGCTGACACCTTGATTTCAGACTTCTAGCCTCCTGAACTGTGAGAGAAAACACTCAGCTTGTGGTATTTTGTTTCAAAAGCCCCAGAAAACTAATACAGGCAGTTTTTGATCTAGAGGTTGAAAAATAGGTGTCCAAAGTCTGGATGCAGAGCAGTTGTTGCTACACACTATGCCAGATCAGCTTATCAAATATAACGTCAGTAATCTTGGCCTTTGTCATAGAAAATTAAAAGAATAGAATTGACAGGGAGGGGAAGGAAAGGATGTCCAGAAGCCAAGAGTGACCCATGAAGCCAAATGTTGAGCACCAGGCTGGCTGGGAAGCAGCATGAACAGACTCCATTCTAATAAATAGGCTGGACTGTTCCACAGAATAGGCAGTAGGCTCAGAAGACTGACAGTATTGAACATTAAGAACAAATAAGAGCTGGTGATAGTATGACCTTTTTTGATCCTTCCAGTAATGAAAGTTAAAATGGGTATCTCAGAAAGATAAAAGATTTGATAATAGTTTATCCTTTAGGTCATAGGAAACAAATTTTTAAGAGAAATGGTCAAAACTTAGAAGTCTTGCTGGAAATATTACAAACTTCATCTAAAGGAGGCATGCTATAAAATCAGTTATGTGCAGAGAAAAAGATGGAAAGCTATCCAACGTGTGTGATAAATTTCCATAACCCTGGTTCCCAAACCTGGTGAAAAGAGCAGCAAATAAACAGAAAAAAAGAAAAAATCCCACAAAACCAATCTTACTTACTTTCTATAAAAATCAAAGAAGAATGCTACAAGATGGATGAACCATACAAGTAGTAAAAAAATAAAAATACAAACCCAAGACATTATGGTAACTGAATAATCCAGACACCAAAGGACAAATACTATGTGACTTTACTTCTATGAGGTACTGGAATTCGTCTAATTCAGAGAGACAGAAAGGAGAGTGGGGCTGGGGTGATGGGAAGTGAATGTTTAATGGGGACAGAGTTTCAATTGGAGAAGATGAAACTTCTGTGGATGGTGGTGGTAATGGTGGCACAGCAATGTGAATGTACTTAATGCCACTAAACAGACACTTAAAATGGTTAAAATGATAAATTTTATAGTATGTATGTTTTACCACAATCTTTAACATTTTACCACACTTTAAAAACACTGAGACAAAATAACTGAAGAAAAAAGTAAGAAAAATCTATAACAGGAATAAAATTCTGATGGTGGGGGAAGAGGCCAAACCCTGACATATCAGCAGAAATTGCTCTCTGTTTCACTGTGAACCCTGATTCTGTGGGACACTGGGCACTTGTGTCTGTTTCTCACCTTGCAGGGGAAAAAAAGAACATGAGAAATAATTTGAGAGTAATTATATCCACCTTCCTAAACTGAAGGGATGTCAGGAGAAATAGGATGCTGTGGGAGACAGCACTCCTAAAGTTGACGAGCTACTCGAGCATAAGGAAGCAGTGTGGTTCTAACCCAAAGACAGCTCAAAAATACGGAAGAGGGGACAGAGCTGCAAGCTGTAAGAGGCAACAATGGGTAGGTTTAAAGGACCAGAATAGAAGTGTTTTGGTCTCTGAATAGGCCTTTTTCTGCACGGAGAGCTCTCTTCTGTTCAAGCAACTAATGTCTCTGCTAAGCTTGGGATGTCTCTGGCCCTCCAGCTACCAAGCAGTTCCCATGCTTTAGAAGGCTGTTCAGCAGTACTTACTGCAAACCTGGGTGCCAGGTGCTGCTCGGGTTCAGAACCTGTGGGCCACTGAGTTCATTAACCACAAACCTTTTTACAAATCCCTTCCTCAGTGGGCAGTGGGAGCAGCAGAAGGCTGGGGTGTGCACACCGGTCAGCCCTGGTCCTGATGGCCGTGAAAACATTATAGAATTTGGCAAAGAAAGGAAATAGAAAGACTTATAGAAAGTAGATGAATAAAGAACAATTGATTGGATATGCCGTGATTTTCTCCTCTAAACTCATTCAAAAGTATAGACAAGGCACAGTTTAAGTACCATCCTATTGAAGGCAGGGGGAATAGCCTATACGACCTCTGGTCTCTTCCAAGAACTCTATAGCTTTTATTTTGTGTGTGTGTGTGTGTGTGTGTGTGTGTGTGTGTGTGTGTGTGTATTTTTATATGATTTATTTTTTAAAATTTATATTTAATGTTCAAAGTATTACATATGTCCCCAAAACTCTATACCTTTTTAAAATCAATATATATATATATATTGAAATCAATATATACATATTGATTTCAGAGAGGAAAGGAGAAGGAGAGAGATAGAAACATCAATGCTGAGAGAGAATCATTAGTTGGCTGCCTCCTGCACTCCCCACACTGAGGATTGAGCCCGAAACCCAGGTATGTGCCCTGACCGGGAATTGAACCTATAAATCTGGTTCATAGGTCGATGCTCAACCAGTGAGCCACACTGGCCAGGCACTCTATAGCTTTTAAATGGTCTCAAATCAGAAAGCCTCCTTGACCCTGGCTGAGTAGCTCAGTTGGTTAAGCGTCATCCTGATTCACCATGGTTGTGGGTTCAATCCCCAGTTAGGGCACATACAATAAGCAACCAAGAATGCATAAATAAGTGGAACAACAAATCGATGTTTCTCTCTCTCTTTTCCCCCTTCATCTCTCTCCCTCTCTCTAAAGTCAATCAATCAATCAATCAAAATTTAAAAAATAAAGAAAAAGAAAAAAGAAAGCTTCCTTGAAGCCAGACAGAAGGTATAGGAGGAGGTCTGAAGAGCAGAAGGGAAAAGGAGGAAAGCAGGAGAGGACAGGTGAGAGGGGCTTTCTCTCCTCTGTTTACGGCACCTGTGGACGAAAGGGGCCACATGCTAACCTGACTAGTTCAGGGAAGGCCTGCACGGCGGTTGTACAAACTCAAAGACCTAAAATAACCACAAAAGATGGTCTGAAAATTAAATATTTAACTACAAACAGGTTATGGTGGGTAGTCATGTCCTAGGCCAGTACTTTCCCTGACAAAGATCAACTTAGATCTTTACTAAGCCCATTGTCTTTTTGCCTCTAAGATAACATACCTGTGAAATGTCTGGGTAACTTGTAACTTCCCTTTTCTCTGGACCCCTCAAGGCACAACAAATGGCACCAGGACATTCCCTCATTGTTATTGTTATCAAGTTAATTGTCAACTGTTAATTATGTAAAACTATCCTGTACCCATCTGTGTAAAAGAAGCACATGTCCGTCATTTCACTTTTTACCCTAACCCAGAGGTTTCCCCACTTTGCTTTCTCCCACCTCCCTAATCTATCACCAATGAATTTCATGTAACCCATCTACGTCCCTTTCCTTTGATTGCAATGTATAAATACAGATGTAACCTGCCATTCTCTGGAGCATTATCAAAATTCGTTGAGGTTCTGCTTCCTGGCATATGTCAACAGTTTGGCTCAAATAAACTCACAAAAATTCTTTACAGGTTTCAATGGTTTTTTACTTTAACACACCCCAGTCAGCTGTGAATTCAAGGCCCCTTCTACAGGGCTGTCACACAGGTTGGGCTGGTCTTACTGGTCTTAAGCATAAAGAACAAGCTGGTCTCAGCTGCCCTTGCTCCCCAAATCCCTCCTCCAGAAGCATCTGACCTTGGGATCCATGGCACAGGCAGCTGGAGGCTTGACTGGATTCCGGCTCACAGGTGTCCAAGGCAGCAGACTGGAAGGGGACACACAGACATACAGGGTGGGTGCTGGGTCCCTGTAGGGATACCCCTCTGGGATCCTCCTGAAGGAATCAAGAATGCTGTCCTGAGCCCTGGTTCTGAGGCACTTCAGCCCCACAGTGGGCTCCCCTCACCATCCCACCAGCTGGCCTTGGATGGCCACTTTCCTCCTTGCACAGAAATTAAGCAGCTGCCCAGTGAGTGGACTCTGGAGCTCTCCTCAGTAGAAAATTGCCAAGATGCTGAGGGCGTCCCAGGCTCCACCCTCCAGCCTCAGGGCCCACTCTTCCACCCAGCTCATGATCCTAAGACCTCACTGAGCAAGCAAGGATGGCAGTCTGATTATGAATACTATTTAAGTAAATACTTATATTAGTGAGTTTCCTACAAGAATAAACTTAGCTAATAAAGCATCATACCTAGAAGTTTTCAGGAAATCCATTTTATTATTACACTAATAGGGCAACTACAACTATTCCTTCTAATAACAAAAGTGAAAGGAGTTTTAGGGATAAAAATAGGCAGGTTTAGGGAGTTTAGGAAAAAAGAGGGTCCAGGGGAGGAATGCATAGATGAGGGCTTGAAGCCGCCAGAAGGCATACATTCACAGAGAGAGAGAGAGAAAAAAAAGCATAAGGGGAAAGGGAGACATCCATTCATAGAAGATAAGGAAAAGCCACAGGGTATGAGAGAAAGAGGAAGACATCCCTTCACAGGAGATAGAGAAATGTTACAAGATAAGAGGGAGAGAAAGGGAGGGGAACTACGTGGGGTTTGGGCTTTGAAGCTACAAAAAGAGTGACCAATTGGAAGGTAGCATCAAGAGACAAAGAACTGCAGCCTTTATAAACCTTAGCAAAAAAGAGCTTAGTGGGTTACCCCCTTGGGACCCCCTCCCTACCTGGGAGTCTGTATTTGCTTCCAATAAATTTCCACCCTTTCATCTACCACCTTTTGTCCATGGCTTAATTCTTCAAATCCATCTAGACAAGGACCCGGGAAAGAAATCACCCTTGCATCCTGCTCAGGAAAACAACCCAAATCAAAAAGCACCAACCCATCCCCTCAACATACTAGTACAACAGCTCCACATTATCATCACTTTGTTCCACAAAGCATGCTGAGAAGCAGGCAGTGTACAGTGCTGATGTTGACTTAGTAGATGAGGAGATAAGGTAATCTGTTCATATAGAAAGAGTTCCTGTAAAATGTTTATAACAAAAGAGAGAGAATGCATAGTTGATAATTACACAAAAGATTAAAGTTCCATATGGCATATATTCCAACTAAATAAACCATCATAAACAACTGACCAGACAAAAGTCAAATGAAGATTGAATATAAAAGATTATATCCATAAAATGGGATATATATATAACCATGAAAAAGAACAAGAGATCTGTGAGTGCATCCATATAGAGATGTCCAAACAAACTGAACAAAGTGAGTAGACTCTGGAGCTCTCCTCAGCACAGAGACTTGCCAAGGTGCTGAGAGCATCCCAGGCTCCACCTCCAGCCTCAGGGTCCACTCATTTTAATCCTATTTTAAAATGCATTTGCCTGTGTGTGTGTATTCACACAAAATATTAGGTGGCACCAAATGAAAAGATCATTGTGTAGGGCAAAACCTGTCAAATCTGGCAAATTCTTGTGGCTCCTAAATACTCAGGCCGTAAAAAACAAAGACAACCACTTGTCTTCAGTAAAAAAGAGCAAGACTCTATTGCCTACCACACGCACCTAACCAAGCACCATGCAAACCTCAAGGTCACTCAACATTACACCCCATCCATCCCCAGCCCACCACTTAATCACCTATCTGACTTTGAGTGTGGCACTCATTTTGAGCTTGTTTAATGCAGGCACTGTGTTTGGGGCTAGAAGAACAATGGTATAAATGACCCACAAGTCCCTGCCCCATTGAAGCTTATTTACCAACAACAACAACAAAGAATTATAAATACAAACACTATTTTTAAAAGTGTGTGCTGTTATAAGAACCCAATCATTAATGTAGCCATCAAAATTCATAGTGCCTATGAGAGTGGGGAAGGACATGTAATGAGAATAGAGCCACAGTTGTCTAATAATTATTCACCTCACTAACTATGGATAAAACATTTCCTTATATACCCTGGGAAACTGGAGGATGAAACAAGACTGTAAAAAGATAAGATGCCTCAATGGATCCATTACTCAGAAAAGAAATACATTTTTAAAAAAAATACTAGTATATCTTTATTGATTTCAGAGAGGAAGGGAGAGGGGAAGAGAGATAGATAAAATCAATGATGAGAGAAAATCATTGATTGGCTGCCTCCTGCACATCCCCTACTGAGGATCAAGCCCACAACCCAGACATGTGCCCTTGACCGGAATCGAACCTGGGGCCCTTTAGTCTGCAGGCCGACACTCTATCCACTGAGCTAAACCAGCTAAGGCAAGAAATACATTTTGAGAACAGACCAAGGACAGTGAACGTTTTGATTTGGTTGCTGCACCTGGACCCTGACCCTCTCTGGGAGTTTTTCTCAGGAACGCTGACCATGCTCCAGTCCCAGGAATGGCCTGAGCTGTTTGTAACATCATAGAAGATTAGCCACCTGGTTATCAGACTTTGAGCTCCTGAAGGCCGGGCTGCAGACTCTACCCTCCCCTTTCCATGTTACACTTGTAGCTCCCAGCTGCATGTAACTATCTTCTCCCTCGTGTGTATATAACCAGCCAACTGGCAAGGGGAGTCAGAGCAGATTTTTGTGGATGACCTGCTCTCTCCCATACTGCCCACATTATTGGAATAAACGCTCATATATGATTCAACCCTGTCTCTGCTTAATTGGCTCAACTGGTGACAGGCAGCACGGACCCCTTGGTTGTCTGGTTACTGGTTACACCTACTGCATGCCAGGAAAAGCTATCCTATATAATAAAGAGGAAAATATGCAAATTAACCCTCATGCCCTCAAAAGATGGCTGCCTACGACCAGGCTGGCAGGGGGGTTAGTGAGGGACAACCAAACAACTGAATAGCAGGCTGCATGGGATGACCAGGCCGGCAGGAGGGTTAATAAGGGACGATCAAATGAATGAACAGCAGGCTGTGTGGGGCGACCAGGTCGGCAGGGGAGTTAGTGAGGGGCGACCAGGCCAGCAGGGGGCGCGCAGTTGGGGGCAACCAGGCCGGCAGGGGGGGGGGGGCCAAAAGAGGCGACCAGGTCGGCCGGGGTGA